CATTTGAACCATGGACCTTTGTCCGGTCCACTTCATCCTATCACAGCGACTCATTCGTGATTGGCAGAAACCTTTCCTGTCAAATGCCCTTCACGCTTCTCACATACCGCCTGGTCATAACATTTTTGCCATTACTGCAATCTCTTCCGCCGCATGCATTAGATACGGACGAGAGCAGGGGTACGGGCTCTTCGTTAGGTATGCCAAGGCATAACGAGATAGGATTCGCACATGATGTAAACTTCAAACAGTTTTCATTTTTATCGATCCCTTTTCTACCTTTCGACTGACTGACGTTGCGACCTCCTATCACAAACGGTATGCTTCCGAAACTAACATGAGCTTATTTACCGTTGGTTTGAACGGCAACTGTCAGTCACAAGCGACCACGAATAACGCATATAGCACAAAAATTTACAAAATTCAGCACTTCTGGATAAAAATCATAGATCATGTTGAGCTTAGAGGAACGATAACGTAGATGTCAACTCCGGGAACAGCCATGTAGACCGTCACTCGGCCTACTTAGTCCTACACCATTACGTGAGTAAAGGACAGTACAAGATCACATCGAAAATAGTAAATTCGAACGAAGACAAACTTGTGACGAAACCACCGGAAGAGGAAGCATGATTTTCAGCATCCTCTCACGTGGAGATGAAACCCAACACGAACTACCGTCGGTTTATGCCAAAATCTAGTGAGCGAACGAAGAAAAATTGATCAGCCTAAGGCTGACGCCTAAAGCCGCAAATTGAAATTACTGACTGGTAAACTCAGTTTAAGTTTTGACAATGGAAAGCCGACCCAGCTGTCGAAAATTTCGGCGAACATATAAACTCATTTGAGTGAGCACAACATGATCTGTGATCATAAAGAACTCGATAAGGGCCTCATGAAACTGAAAGTTGGGCCATTTTTTTTCCAGTTTCCCACGATAGGTACAGATGATTTGGCCGGGCATTTGATTATAGCTGGTTATATACCTTCACTAAACGGCACACTTCAAGGCTTCTCAGACAAATATTTACGCATGAATTAAGTTGCAAACCACCTTTATTGATGAAGTCTGCTTTACGAGAGGACTACCCTGCCACTCAAAACCGCAATTGCAGGCATTTGTCAGTTGTCAATAAAATGCAAACTAAGAGCTATATTGACACAATTAGCGCCAAAAACCAACCTGAGAATTTGTCAAAATGAGGCTGTCAGCGGAAACGACGTCAAAGAAGGGTATAAATAAACACAAGAGGAAATTTTACTTGTGTTGTAGACGCAAAGCGCATAAACATGTTGACACTGAGAATGGAGTGAGAGTAGTGAGGTTTCGATTGCAGAAAGTAATAACTTTTAGTCGTTTTGACCGATAGGTCTGCCAGTGCCCTTTTTTAATGTTTAGGCAGCCAAGACTAACGACATGGACTTGCGATCCCCCAGTCATGCGCTTTTACCTCTAGACAAGTGTCTTTTCTTAGAAAATCCTTTATTTTAACTAAAGGGTTACGTACGGATTTTAAGCGAACACATCGCAGTCAAGCGCAGGTATAGCCCATTCGGTTACATTTCACAGTTCACGGTTAGAAAGACACCGTCTAGGACTGAGAAAGCAACCCCTGGTCCCTGAAAACCTACGCGGTTTTGATTTCGGTTAAGACCAAAATGGGGACAAGTTGGCCCATGCCGTTAGCTGTTTGAACTGCCGTGAGTGCGCACAAACTTCTAGCTGGGACATTTGGTTACTTTACAGGAACGACCTTCCTGCCGTCAAACTTGCGTCAGCAAACGATTTTTTGTTTTTACTTACAACACGCTGCAGAGAAGAGGCCATACGGATTTAGAGTTAACAGCTGTACGTTTACAAGGAGAATAAGAATAAGAACCGACCACTGGAACAAGAGGCTTATTGTCCTGACATTTCGGATTCCGTCAGGAATCCTTAATCATAGGTTATTGTAGAAAAGTCTGAGAAATGCGTATATGAGGGTGATGCATGCATATATTACACGGTATTTATAGTTCATATTGGTTATCCACATGAGTACTATAATTGTCAGTTCCTGTAGCCACCGCTTGAGGTTTTAATTAGTGCGGTGATGGCTCAATTATGTTCTTGTCCACGTCCGATACGGTCTTGATGATTTCGCGACATGTATGCCCGTTTTCGTCAGAGGTGTTGCTGCAGCCA